GGGCCTGACCTAAGGTGTTTATTGTTTCCTCCTCATGAGAATTGTTTCTCTTTGTGTCTTTGGAATTTTCTTCTTGAGAGTTTCCTATCCCTCCTGGGAAGAATTCTGTTTTAGAATTTGAATCTTTAGAATCCTATCTCTGAATGCTTTGAGATATGCTCTCCTGAAATACATGGCCATATCAGATAATGCCTGGCTTTTCTCTCCCCCTTTATCACAACTTCTAAGATGGATTTGTCACTTCACCCTATCATGTTTTTTTTTCTAGCAACCAGTTCTTTCTTGGTGGTGAGGATTTCTTCTTGTCAGTTCTTCTACCTTTTGGTAATGAAATTATTATTAATGCAAGTCAAGAAATTATTGGCTGTTTTACTTTTGACAGAAAGAGCTCTAGCAACTGTCTGGGTATCTGAAGTCTCTCATGCTTGCATTATTACCCTCTGTGCTAGGCTTATATTTTATTTCCCAAACTCTTCATCTTTTCTCTCTTTCTGCCTCAGTGGTCTATAGAATTGTATGTTCAGTGACAATTCTACTTTTCCTTCTGCCTACATTGGTCTTCACTTAGCTAATTTCCACCATGCTTCTACCCTCTGGTTCCTGAATTTTGTCTCATAAACATATAGCTTCTTACAATAGAATGCTACTCTACCCACCACCCCCTGCTCCTTTGACCTACTGTTTCTTTTGAATATGGTATAAACTTCTAGAGCAATATTCCAGAAATGAGTTTCAATTGTTGATCTTAGTGAGACCTATTTGCCTCCTTGCTTTAAGACCCGGAGTTTGACTTGTTACCCACACATCATGCACTTGTATGGACATATGTAACTCATGGCTCAAGCCTTGCATTTGCATAAGATTTTTCTCATTGGTGGGGAGAATGATTACTCAATGTCTCATGACTGCATGAGGAGCCAAGTTAGCAAGAGCTTGGGAAAAGAGAAATTCTAGTATTTAAGCTTCTGGTTTCAAGAGAGGACAAACACAATTGCAAGCTCTCTTCAGGGAGAGGTCCCCCAAGGGAAAAAAAAAAAAGGATTCAAGGAAGAAGTCAACATGTGGAGGAGCATGGATCAGTGAGAAATCACTCTCTCCACCAATGAGGAGAGTCTTATGCAAATTGCTGCCTGGAACCCAGGGTAAGAATGGAGGCAATAGGGTTTATTACTGACTCCTTTTTCTAGATTTTTGTCTCCAGTAAACAATAGTGTTCCTTTGCATATTAAGCTTCCCTAGCTCAGAAAATTCAGTTTGTGAAACTGAAAATATGTGACTTTCCTGGAGTACTTCTTTTACACAAGGAGATGTGCTACTCCTTGTACAAGGGATTGTTATAATTACAATGTCATCAATTGCTTTAGAAAAATTGTCATAGTCATTAGTCAATCAAGTAAAAAGCTTTGGGACCAAGGCCAATTTGTTTGTTTTAAAGTGACTCCATCCAACCAGTATTTTTAAGTAAATTTATTTAGATCATCTTAACAATCACCACCATTCTTTTTACTTTCAAAATTATTTGGTCCGATAGACATACTCTGACTAGTCCAAGAACTGAAGTTAGGAAATCACAGTGAATCTGTCTTTCACCCTTCTTATCACTTTAGGATAGAAACAAGGCCTCCATTTGCAGTGGAAACAGGAAAAAACAAAACTCTCCCTTCTAACTCCAAATTTTTCTCAAGAAGATAGCCTTTTATATAGCCAAATGATTATTTTCCATAACAACCCTCCCAGGTACAACTGCCAGTGTCTAAGAGAGGAATGCTTTCTCTTTGATAGGCATATCACTGAGAACCTTGGAATGGAGAGAACCAGTTCTTACCTTGAATACATTAGGAAATGGATTAGAAATTAATAGTTCAACATTTTAAAGTTTCTGCCTTTCTGAGACATCTGATGATGGCTGCCATTTTGCCAGAAAATGGCACCATATGTGATGTTGGAATTATAATTAATTGTTTTACTATGAAAGGATTCTGGGATGGGTAAAAAAAAAAGTTTGGACAGAAGTGGTCTGGAAGGCTTCCAGTTGCAGCTGCTGAAAGTGAATGATTTTTCGCTTGCCAATGTGGAAACAATGAAAAGTGACTATGGATTTCAGTGTTTCTAAACTTCCATATGAAGGGGAGTTTTGTATTTATTCCTTCCCCCTGCGTTCCTCATTAATTAATTAATTCAATTATTTAACAACCATTATTAAGCCACTAACATGTACAAAACATTGTAATACATATTAAGGGAAATACAAAAATGAAGAATTCTTGCCTGTAGACAAATCACGTCGGGGATATGACACAGACACAAATATACAATACTGTACAATAAATATGTACTAAATAATAATCATAGTGCAGAACTGAGTAAGAGAAGATCTATCTTAGATGCAAACACAAACATGCATACTATGTCTAGTTTATTGATAATTTGCATCTGTCACCTAACTAAAAACTAGAGAGTAAACAGAAAGACACTAACTTAAATAATTGTCATTAAAAAATAAGTTTAGGGGCAGCTAGGTGGCATACTGGATAGAATACTGGCCCTGGAGTCAGGAGGACCTGAGTTCATATCTGGCCTCAGACACTTGACACTAACTGTGTGACCCTGGGCAAGTCACTTAACCCTATTGCCTAGCCAAAAACAAACCGAACCAAAACAAACAAACAAACAAACAAAAAAATAAGTTTTAACAGTCACTACAATGGAGAGGCCAAAAGAGCCCAGAAACTGATTTAGTTAACAAATACTTTATCATCTTGCCAAGCAGTGAGACATAGCTGCCAAGGGCAACATCAGCTTAGAATATAAGCTTACTTGCAAAACAGTGCAGAGGATGAAGGTAATATCAACTTACAAAAATAACAAAAAGGGACTTCAAAAGAAAAAAGATGTTTCTGAAATGACATAGAAGTCTGGCCTTTGCCATGAAGTTAGAGAATGGAAAAACTTCACACAGAAGAAAGAAGGAAAAGGATAACTTTTCCCTACAGTTTTAAAAAAAAGGTCATTCCTGAAGAGTGAGCTATATGATGGAGAGGAAGAAGCTTATTCTCTAAGGAATAGTCGAGATTTAGTAAAGGAGAAGAGAAGAATTGTGCGCTGGTGACTCCCTGTCCAGGGATAATGAAAGAGTTATTTGTAGAGCTGATAATATTGATTACAACAATAGAGAAGTTTTATGTCTACTTTGAGTATGTGTCAGACATAAAACTTCCCTAAGACTTGTCAAAAATTGATGACTTCTCCCGACAATACCACTTCTAGGTCTGTATCCCAAAAAGATCATAAAAATGGGAAAAGGACCCACATGTACAAAGATATTTATAGCAGCTCTTTTTGTGGTAGCAAAGAACTGGAAAATGAGGGGATTCCCATCAATTGGGGAATGACTGAACAAGTTGTGGTATATGAATATAAAGGAATATTTTTGTGCTATATGAAATGATGAGCAGGCAGACTTCAAAAAACATGAAAAGACTTACATGAACTGATGCAGAGTGAAATGAGCAGAACCAGGAGAACATTGTACACAGTAACAGCCACATTGTGGGATGACTGACTTTCATAGACTTGGCTCTTCTCAGCAATGCAAGAATCTAAGACAACTCCAAAAGACTCATGATGGAAATTGCTATCCACACCCAGAGAGAGAACTATGGAGTCTGAAAGCAGATGGAAGCACACTAATTGCTCTCCTTTTCCTTTTTTGTTTTGTTTTATTGCTTCATTCTTGTGGTTCCTCCCATTACTTCTAATTGCTCTTTATATCATGACTAACAGGAAAATATTCTTAATATGAATGAATGCATAAGCAAAGCCTATATCAGATTGCATACCATCTTGGGTGAGGGGAGAAGAGTGGGAGGGAGAGAAAATTTAAAACTCAAAATCTTATGGAAATGAATGTTGAAGACTAAAAATAAATAAATCAATTATCAAGGGAAAAATTGATGACTACTACCCATTTCTGTTTATTCACATGGTCACAAATGATACTGCCATTGGGCATAAGTGGTATTTTCCTTACTGATGCCTATTGAAAACAAAGGATACAGAAGAGAAAAGCTGATTTAGGAACTGACCAGCTGACTAAGAAGATGTCTGAGAATGAGATTTGGACTTCTTGGTTATGGCTTAAAACATTAGAATGATATCCTGGCCAAAGATGGAGTATACCTCATAAAGAATGATAATAATGTATTTCCTTTGATTCTTGAAAATCAAAATTGCTTTCACTAAAAAGAATGGGAAAAAAATGGGAGAAAAAAAAATGTCAGTGTATATCCACCAAACTAGATCACATTGAGAGTAGCTACAATGAAGAAAGAATAGCATTTGAGATTCTCCAACATTCCCATAAAGCAAAATCCAAGAAAGAAGCAAGTAATAAAAACCGTGAACTCAAAAGTCTATTCACAAGTGCACAAATCTTAGGCAACACACAATCAGGACTAGGTGTCCTAACACAAGGAGGTAAATTCAACCTCATAGGTATTAATGACACAATGAGATGAAACTCATGACTGTGCCATGACCCCAGGTGGGTATACTGGGGAACTGAGGCTATTTATCCTAGAGAAAAGAACATCCGGGAAGGATATTATAGATTCTTCATGTATATGAAGGGCTGCCATGTGGAAGAGGGTTGAACCAGGAACAATGAGTCAAACTTGCATAGAGTGGTGCAGGCTTCATGTCGGTGAAAACCTCTGAACAATTAGAACTCTCTTAAAGCAGAATGGCTGCCTCAGGAGTGAGTTATCCTTTATTGGAAGTCTTCAAGCAGATCTTGGATGACCATTTTTTTTTAAGTGAGGCAACTGGGGATAAGTGACTTGCCCATGGTCACACAGCTAGGAAGAATTATGTGTCTGAGGTCAGATTTAAACTCAGGTCCTCCCACAGCAGGTGCTCTATCCACTGCACCAGCGAGATGCCCCCTTGGATGACTATTTCTTGTATTATGGATTTATTTTTAGGTATGCATTGGACTTGATGGCTACTTTGATACCTTCCAGTTCAAAGAATCTGCAGTTATTAAATTTGAGAAGAAGAAATGAGCCTTCAAAAAAAGTCTGACATAGTGCTGAACTGTACCAAATCATCTGAAGAGCATGTATGGGTGAAACTCCAAGGTGTCATTGAGATGTCCACGAATCTCTCCCACAGCAGGTAATGGTCACCTCCCTCCTCTCCAGACTGGGCACAGTTTGAGGCAGTTGACCAAGGTATGAAGAGTTCTAGTTGTGTCTCCACCTGCCATTTAAGCTGTATGATCTTAGATAAGCCTGCATCTCAGTTTTGTGGTCTGCCAAAGGAGGGATTCGATGACCTTTAAGGTACCTTTTAGCTCCAATATTCTGTGATTCAGGTAGCTGGAGCAAATATGTGACTATGTACTAGAGAGTCTGCTTGGAGTTAAGGGAAATGAGCAACTCTTTTCTCTACAGTTATTTTTAAACTTATTTGGGATTTGTTCTCACGTATGTTGGGGTCCACCTGGAAGAACAGTTAAGTTGTTAACAATGGAGAAGGGGAAAAATGAAAAGGAGCTTCTAAAGTCCTACCATGGACTACTCCAGGGACCAGTTCAGGATGTCTTACTCACAGATTGGGGGACAAATCATTTCTGTATGCTTGGCTCTATTTGAAAGTATTGATTCTCCCATCTCCTTATCTTCTTCCCCCCCGTATTGTTATTCCTAGGAGGCCTTAAACCATAATACAGACAACATGACTTAGCACAAGATACTTATATACCATGAAGAATGGAACTCTCTGTAATGAAAAATGTGGGCATTTCATAAAATGTCACATTAAAAAGTGTTACTTGTTTTTCCACTATTGGCAGCTTGCCTGTCTCAAGACCTTGCTGCATTGAAAATAATCTATCTATAAACATTTATTGAGTGCCTACTATGTTAGCCTCTATGTTACATGTCAGGAATGTAAAGACAAAAGGAGAATAGCATGTGCCCTTAAGGAGCTTATATTCTGTTGGGGAAGATAATATATACATACGTGCATATACACATACGTACATACATACATACAGATATATATGTATATATATATATATGTGTGTGTGTATGTATATATATATATATATATATATATATATATATATGTAAGTATAGATATACACACACATACTTACATTTACACACACTCTCCCTCAAAATAATCCCGAGTTAATGGGGGTAGAGGGCTTAAGGGAGGACCCTAGTAATTGAGGAGATTAGGAATAGTTTTATGTGGAAGATGGCACTTGGATTGAACTTTGAGAGAAACTAGGGCTTCTAAGAGGTAAAGGTGAGGAAGGAATGCATTTCAGGCATGGGAACCAGCCAGTGCAAAGGCATGGAAATAGGAAACAGAATGGATAAATAATACTGTGAAGGCCAGCTTGGCTGTAAATATATAAAGAGGAATAATGTATAATAAGTAGGAAAGGTAAGGTTATGAAGGACATTAAACATCAAACAGAGGTGCTTCTATTGTATCCTTGAAGTAACAGGCAGCCACCAGAACTTCTGGCACAGGAGAGTGACATGGTCAGAATCATGTTTTAGGAAGACCGTTTTGGAGGATATTGAAACTAACAAACAACAATGATGGCACTGGCCTATCTCCCTGGAGGAGAAATCCACCAAAGAGAATGGAGCACAAGCTTCTAGAAGGTCAGGGACTGTTTTGTTTTTGTTACAATTTTTTTTTTGGGGTATCTACATGTAGTCTATGCTTGATCAAAATATGTTGAGTTGAATTGAATGCTGAAAACTATAAACTCACTTCCAGGGATAAAGCCTCTTAAGAGTCCCCATGAACATGGTTCAGTGGAAAATTGGAAGCTAAGGAAGGGAGGATACAAAAGGATCTAATAGCCTCCCATTTTGGAGCCCCACCCAAAAATTCCCATCTTCTCAAAGAATTTGAGATTCCCTCCTCCTAAGTCACTCCAATTTGTACCTATATTTATAACCATGGGAAAATCTATTTCATAATCTGTGTAATAAAGAATCTCATCCACAACTTCTCAAAGAAACTTGTTATCACAGGCAATGACACACTAATTGCTTCTAGACATTTAGCTCATCTAGTGAGGGAAGTAATCTGATAAGCTATTGAGCTATTAAGTGATGGAGAATCAATTAATGCAGTGAGATAAGAAACCAATACCCCACCTAGGTAAACTAACTGAATAATATGTGTCTAGCTATTCACTATTAATTCAAGCCTAGAAGATGGAGCATCTTATTGTCATTGACAAGATCCTTGGGGGATGTTGTTATTTAGGGAAAACTGGTGCATTTTTACCTCCAGAAAGAAAAATGCTTTGCAACTGACAGAGTTGAGACATCTGACTGAAGATGCCTAGCTCTTCTAGACTAGTCTACACTCTGCTAACTGACTAGATCACATCTGGGAATGTCAGTATTTCTAAGTCTGATGTGGCGCTTGACAATAAAGCATACAGATCTAGATCTAATGATGATGATGATGATGATGATGATGGTGATTATGATGTTTATGCTTATGTGACATTGGGTAAGTTACTTGACCTCTCCCAGACCTCAGTTTCTTCCTTTGTAAACTGAAGGAATTGGACTAGATGGCCTTTCTAACTATCCTTCTAACTTTAAAGCTATGATTCTATGAGCTGATCATCTTTCAGGAGGGAGAGTTCAGTCTACAGGAGTTGTCATCCTCACTCTTGACTTTCTTTCACTCTCCATAGCCAACCTGTTGCCATGGCTTATTGATTTTGCATTTAACATCTCCAGCATATGCCAACTTCTCTCCTCTGACACTGCCACCACTCTGTAGTGGGTCCCATCATCTGACACTAAGAATATTTCAGTAGCCTGTTGGCTAGTCTCACTACCATACATCTCTATCTACTCTCCCCACTCCAGCCCATCCTCCATTTAGCTATCAAAGTAATCTGCTCAAAGAACAGGTATCACCATATCACTCCCCTACTCAATAAACTCCAGTAGTTTCTCTATCCTCCAGGATCAAATATAAATATAAAATCTTTTATTTGGCATTAAAAAACCCTTATAACTTGCCCCTTCAGCTTTCCAGTTTTCTTATACCTTACTGTCACTGTAATCTAGTGACATTTGCTTATTTGTTCTTCCTTGAACAAGACACTCCATCCCCCAAATTCCATGCATTTTCACAGGCTGTCTCCCATGCTGGAAATGCTCTCCCCACTCATCTCCACTTCCTGGATTCCCTCAAATCCCAGCTAAAATCCCAGCTAAAATCCCATCTACAGGAATTCTAATTTGGGTGTCTTCTTTCTGTTCATTATTTCTGATTTATATATAACTTGTTGGCAGATAATTGTTTGCATGCTGTCTTCTCAATTAGATTGTGAGCTCCTTGAGAGGATCTTTTTTTTTTCCTTTCTTTGTTTCCCCAGTACTTAGCATAGTGCTTGGCACATAGTAGGCATTTAATTTAATTTAATTAACTGCCATTCATAGTAAATTCAGCTTTCTCGAATCCCTATACTTTTTTGCTCTCTTTCTCTACTGTTCCATCTGTAAACCCCCTTCATCCTAGACTTCTCACATTCTTTCCATTTTCTGGTTCTAACTGAAACCTAGCTTTTTCTTATTTGGCACCCTCTCCAAAACTGGCATTCTCTCACACTCCCTGACATAGAGGTTAGGGAGGAGGAGTTGGCATACTCTTTGCTTCCAACTACTACTTTCAGACCCATTCTTTGCTAACATTACTTAGCAACCCCCTCTCCTCTCCTCCTTGAAAACGGCTCCATCTTGTCCTTATTGCTACCATCTATGGACCTCCAGGTCAACCTTTCTCCTCCCCAATAACTTCAGTACCTGACTTACATTCTTCTCCACCTTGACAATGCCCCCTTCAAAACCTTGATCTCCTAGTTCCTCAACATCCTACTCTCTAAGCAATTAATCAAGTAATTTTCAAAAACATTTACTACTAAGTCCCTACTATGTGCCAGGTGCAATAATAAGAACTAGGGGTACAAAGAAAGGCAAAAACAGCTCATATCCTCAAGAATTTCATGTTCTAATGAAGAAGAAAACATGCAAATAAATAGATATATACAACACATATGTACATATGCATGTGTGTATATTTATATCTACTTGTTGCTGTCCTTTGTTTTTGAAGAAGTGATGTTTTGGCTTGCATGTGAATTGGATTTAAGTGAGGCAGAGTTGCACATAGCTGTCAGCCTCACTTTCTCTTCCAGCGGTAAGACTGGATGACTGGTGATGACTTGGGATGCATCTTCAATGTCTGACCAAGGCCTAAGTGCTCCATAGTGCCTGCTTTAGCCTCCTTCATGGCTGCTAGAACAAATTATTTTCATCCATGCATTACACTGGGGAAAATCTTCACATGCTTGGGGTAGACATATCCCTGATTCATCGATGGGTCTGAGGCCTGTCAGTTACCTTCAACCTGGTTTAACATATCTGCAGAGATGGCTTAGCAGAGCTTGGCCACTGTGCATGCTACAGTTTCTTGGAGCCACAGGTGATAGTTGGGTGAATCAGGTGGACACCAAAGGTGGGTGAGCAGCCTTGAGAATGGCTTGGCAAGCTCCCATATCAGATTTCTACTCCCCCTGAACACCCTATACACCCCACTATGTATATATATGTATATATGTGGGGTGTGTTTGTACATACACACTATATATATATATATATATATATATATATATATATATACATACACACTATATATATATATATACACATATATATATATGTATGTGTGTGTGCGTATATGTATATATATATATGTATGTGTGTGTGCATATATATATATATATATATATAAAGTAATCTGAGTGAGTTAGGCCCTAGTAGCTGAGGGGACTTAGAAAGGCCTTCTGCAAATGGTGGAGTTTGAGTTGAGTCTTGAAGGAAGAGAGAAAAAATAAGAGGCAGAGGTAGAGAGGGAGAGCATTCCAGGGAAAAGGATTGTGAACTCAAAGGCATATAGATGAAAGATGGGTTGCCAGGTACAAAACAAGTAGACTGGTACATATAGCTGGATTGTAGAGTGCATGACACTGAGCCTATGAGAGTGATTGAGAGGATAATGGTACCTTCAACAATAACAGGGAAGTTCAGAAAAGGAGAGGGTTTGAGGGGAAAGATGAT